AAGAATAGGTCTTCCTTTCCCCAGATGCCAGCACCAACTTCCCTCTGGCACCTGGGATACAGGTTTCTCTTACAGCCCTGGCTTTGTCCAGAAGGACTTCTGGTCTAATTAGCATATTATGCTTTTATTATTATAGATTAGGAATCCTAGAACAGAAGTTGTCAAACTTGATTTCTTCCTCTAAATTAAAATTAATGTATACAGTATTTCAATAAAATAATAGCAGATAAGAAATTACTCTTAAAGTTAGATATGTAATATATATATATTTCTATTTATATGAGGTAGAATCAAGGAAAAATCCATAAAGTAACCCAGAAATAACTTTATCTTCATTGGATTTAAAATTATATATATATTAGAAAAAATATATAATTATTAGGATTTAAGCATATATATATATATATGCATTTGGATTTGTTTCTTGCTTAGGAAGAGCTTTCCCAAGATCATTGGGAAGATTTTCATATATACATCAATTTGACCATTTTCTAGTTTAATTTTCATGGTAAGATTTTTATTATTCATAATTTGTTCCTGCATGATATGAGTTATAGACATAACTTACTATTCTATAACTAGTTTTTATGTTACCAATACAATTTAAAGATAGCACACATAAAAACTTTATATTTATAATAAAATAAACTTTATAGACTTAATTCCTATATGTGAAAATCTATTCTGTTAATGAACATGTCAACCCAGTTCTAATAAAATAATATTTAGATATTTTTAATATGGTATGGATCTTAAAAACTATTGTATCACTATTTTACCTAAATTTTTTTATTCGTTCATATTCAATTTTCAAAAAGAGGCTATCCATATTAAATTAAACTATCTTTGTTGGGATTTTGATTATTATTGACTTTACTTTTGGATTAATTTGGTCATAATTACAACATTGGATCTTCTATTTTTGTTTGTACCTAGTATATTCAAAACTCATTTTATAATCTTTAGTAAAGAGCTACAGAATTAGTCATATAAAAAAGTGTACATTCCTTTTAGTTTTCTTCTTCTTTGCATCCCTTTTGTTCTTTACTAGTGGCCAAGAGCATGGAATTCATGCATGGGAAGGGGGCTGCTCCTTAGCCCGGCCTGCACCCTCTCCAATCTGGGACCTCTCAGAGGATGTCCTACTGCAGGTTTACAGGGAACGGGCCTTAACCGGCAGTCAGACATCCCTCTTGCAATCTGTGACTACTGTCCATCACTCCCCTCTCCTGCTGGCCATCCTGTGGCAGCCATCCTGTATACTCATGGGGGTGGCCATTATTGACCATATGGGGGCAGCCATCTTGTGTGTTGGAGTGATGGTCAATTTGCATATTACCTTTTTATTAGTTGGGATTCTTTACCAGGGGCAGAAAAAAAAAATATATATTAGCACTTGTGTTTCTTAGAAAAGTATGCAAGTAATTAAGTTCTCTCTGTTATGTTTGCTATCCCACCACCAAAGTACAATCTTATTAGATTTACATTTGGAATCTAAATTGAAATAAGGAAGAAGAGTATAAGTTAAAGAGAGAAGTATCTTGATAACAACCACTCATATATTGTTTTTAAATCATGATTGTTATGAAGTTAACATTTTTCTTCCTGTCAGTAGATAAATAGGAACTCCATCAGAAGTTTCTTAAAAAGATAAAAATTGAATTTCTCCAAATAGAAGAAAAACACTCTGTTACATAGTGGAAAAAATCATCAAGTAAACTTCCTTAAATTCATTCCTTCTACTTTTAATACATTTGCATGAATTACTAGAAAAGAGAAAACAGCTTATTTTAAAATTCTATAATTTGTAATAAAATTATAAATTTGTGCTGTTTCGGGTCTTATTGATTTTTCAAGTTGCCATACTTTTTCTTGCCTTTTTAAAAATTATATATATTTGTTGATTTCAGAGAAGAAGGGAGAGGGAGAGAGAGAGAGATAGAAACATCAATGATGAGAGAGAATCATTGATTGACTGCCTTCTGCATACCCCTACTAGGAATTGAACCCACTGCCTTCCATATACCTTAGGCCAGAATCAAACCAGGGACCCTTCATTCCGCAGGCTGATGCTTTATCAACTGAGCCAAACTAGCCTTTCTTACTTTACAAAATCAGTTTCTTCTTTTTGGAATAGAAAAATCTCACTAATCCTCAATCATTTTTTCTTTCCACTTAAGAGGTCCTACTTGTTTCTAGCTTAACCTACTTTTTTTAAAAAAATGATTTTATTCATTTCAGAGAGGAATGGAGAGGAAGAGATTGAAATATCAATGATGAGAAAGAATCATCCACTAGCTACCTCCTGTACACCCCCTACCGGGGAAGGAGGTTGCAACCCAAGCATGTGCCTTTGACTGGGATCGAACCCCAGATCCTTCAGTCTGCAGGGCGATGCCCTGAACACTGAGCCAAATGGGCTAGGGTATAATCTACTTTTTGAAGTCCTTTCTTTCCACTACTTTTCTTTTTTCCAGCTATTACAGCCCTATTTTAATAATGATAATATTTATTGCAATTCTAGTTGTTTCCATTCTCCACCCCCACTTCCCTGCTAGACATATATTCTCCATTGGGGCAGAAAACTCACTATTTATTGTTGACCTCTTAAATCCAGAATAGTTTGAATAAAAAATGACAAGTAATCAAAAAGCATGTTATTCCTGTGATCATCTTAGCCTAGAAATAAAACTTCTTCACCTTGCCTCAAAATTTAGTACACAAAGTTGAATTCTTCTATTTGTTGTTGTACTCTTTTCTCAACTGTCAAATTTATACATATATAAACGGGGAAAGAAAAAAATGGATGCCACTAATGTGTGGGCTTAGGGTAGAAGGGAAGATGTATGAAAAGAAATATAGCCAAAACCAGTTTGGCTCAGTGGATAGAGCGTTGGCCTGTGGACTGAAAGGTCCTGGGTTCGATTCCGGTCAAAGGCACATACTTTGGTTGTGGACACATCCCCAATAGGGGATGTGCAAGAGGCAACTGATCAATGATTCTCTCTCATCGATGTTTCTACCTCTCTCTCTCTCTCTTCTTCTCTGTAAAAAATCAATAAAATATATTTAAAAAAAGAAATATAAAAAATTATCACTTTTCATATTATATTTACCTCTTTATCTCATAGCAAAGATGAATTTTATCAAAATACCCCTTCCAAATTTTAAAATTTCTTTTTTCCTAATTACAAAGTACTACATAAAGAAACCTGATAAGTTTCTATTTATTCCTCTTTAAACAACTTGAAGCGGATGGCTTATTTCCCTCCACACCCTGAAATCTTACTATTGTCTACTGGCATAAATTAAAAAGGAAAAAAAAGAGAGAGAGAGAGAGGTTTCATATTAAGAAAGACATTGGAGGGGTGAAGCTGCAGTAACCATATTTCTCCTTGAGATTTGAGACTCAGAAACATGGGGTGGATGCTCATACACATCTCTGTCAACAAATTCATTGAGGTAACCATTCTCTTTTCATGAGTGAATCAACATATCCCCCTTGTTTCTTTACAGAAGAAATGCAAGGAAATAAAGATTCAGGCATTAATGGAAAAAGCAAAACTGACTCAACTTAAGTCAATTTATAGGAATGTTTACTTATCTTTTAAAAACTTTGTGTTTTTTTGTTGTTGTTAAAATTCTCACTAGAGGATATTTTCCCATTGATCTTTCAGTGAGAGTGGGAGAGAGAGAGGGAAAGACAGAGAGAAACACTGATGTGAAAGAAGCACATTGACTGGCTGCCTCCGGCATGCACCCTGACCAGCGCCTTGGTTGCCTCCTGCACATGCTTTGACTGGAATCAAACCCAGGACTGGTTTGAGCTAAAAACTTCCTTCATAAAGTGAGGTTATTTTTGTAGGTCTTAGGAAAAGGTCGATTTTATGTACATAAAAAAAAGAGTATGAAGAGCTTGGCTTCTGTTAAGTTTTTAACTACCTGTCCAATATAATAAAAAAGTAATATGCAAATTGACTCTTGCATCTTCTCATCACAAGATGGCTGCCCACCACATCATCACAAGATGGCTGCCACAAGCTGGCCACCCTCATGTTATTAGAAGATGGCTGGCAGGGAAGGGCAGTTGGGGGGAACCAGGCCTGCAGGGGAGGGCAGTTAGGGGTCATTGGGCTGGCAGGAGAGAGCAATTGGGGGCTATTGGGCCAGCAAGGAAGGAGTTAGTTGTCAATCAGGCCGGCAGGGGAGCAGTTAAGTGGCAGCAGTCCCAAATTGTGAGAGGGATGTCAAGTGGCATCATTCCTCAGCCGGCAGTCAGAAATCCCTCTAGGGGTCCCAGATTAGAGAGGGTGCAAGCTGGGCTGAGGGACACCTCCTGCAGTGCACAAATTTCTTTCACCCAGCCTCTAGTATATATATATAAAAGCATAAGCTACCAATCAACCACTTGACTGGTAGCCATGACACACACTGACCACCAAGTGGCAGATGCTCAATGCAAGAGCTGTCCCCTCATGGTCAGTGCACTCCCACAGCAGGAGCATCGCTCAGCTGACTGATGGGTGCCAGACACAGGGATCACAGCTGGTGAGTGCAGCTCTCCTGCCTCTGCAGCAGCCGTGGTAGCGGGCACAGTAGGCCAGATTGAGTGGGAGCAGCATGGTGCTGGGCCTGGGCTCAGATTTTTCCCCAGCAGCCTGCTGCTTTTCACACTACTGCATCCCCAGGGGGGTCTCAGATTGCGAGAGGGTGCAGGCCAGGCTGAGGGACCCCGCCAGTGCACAAATCCATGCACTGGGCCTCTGGTTGGCTTAATAAGTCTTTTTGTCTAAATAGTAGCTCCAAATTGTTTTTAATGGCATATGCTCAAAACTACCCTAGGAAAATATTTTTTTAAAGTTATTATTGGATGGTGGAAGTATGAGATGGAGTTGGCCTTAGAAAAATGAGAGCAGCATTACTTTTTAAAGAATGCACACTTGTCAAAAGTCAGTATTTCTCCACAAGACAGAGCTGACCAAGAAGGAGCAGAAAACAACATGAATGATGTGAAGCTTGCTGTCCTGGGTAGTGAAGGAACAGGCAAATCTGGTGAGTGGCGGTCTTTCCTCAGGCATGGTGTAGAGTGCAGATAGAGTGAGAAATATATTGATGCATATATAAAACTTGATATAACGATATAACTACATATTGAATCTTATTAGCAGTTTTCATTTTAAAAGCAAGTTAGGCAATTCACTGTATATTGAAATAATTTATAGACAGCTTAAGAAAGATAACTGTTGAAAGTATTAGTTTGTATCTTGTTTTGCTGATGTTTAAATTCATAGGAATATAAGAATAACAGGAAACCCTCCATCATTATCCCACTTACTTCTCACTCCAACACACCTGTTCTCACACCCACCAGTGGCCAAACGATGGTCATGAAAGGATTCTTCTGCCTTAGACTAGGGGTGCAGTGACATTCCTGAAGACCTGTGGATCATTTTCTAAATGCCACATTACAGGGGGCTGGGGGAAACTCAAAGCAAACAAACTCTGGAGGGGCATGGCTTTGTAGATACCTAGGAACTAAGCAACATTTATTTATTTATTTTTTATTTTTTTTGGTAACATTATTGTAATGAGGATGCCAGCCATAGAGCCCCCTGAGCCTAAGGAATCATAATTGGCCAGACCCAGGCACTGTAATGAGCTCAACCAACACTCTGGGTCCTTTTTCTAGTTCCTGTATTTTGAAGTCTCTCTATCTTTAAGAAACTGCAATTGTTTGATATTGTCCTTGCCATTATGAGCATGTAGCACCTTAGAACCATATTTAATTTGATAAAGAAAACAAAAATATGTTATAATTCTTGCATCTCAGATATAATAAGAAATCCGTTTCTGTTATGGAAGGTAGGTTGCCTTCTGTGTTTGCATTTGTGAATTAATTACACAATGATTTCAGTGGATAACATTCTAAGATCACTTTCTTTCTACCGTCCTAACCTTTATTGTTGTTCATTGGAAATCTTGCTGACTTTTATTTAGACCAGAATTCAGTAAAGTTTTATGATCTTCCTAATGCTTGCTCATTTTTGAGCTGAAAAATAAACCTCTATGTACATAACTAAATTATCTGTATCCTAAAATAGAAAGGTCCATCAATCTAGTTTCTTTGTTTTTCAGCCCTTACAGTGAGGTTTCTTACCAAGCGATTCATTGGAGAATATGCTTCTAATTTTGGTAAGTATCTACTTTAGCCTTTTTCACCCTAAAATTTCATATTATAATTAAACAATAATTCAGATCAGAAAATGATTTTAATGGAAACTTACGTTTTTACATTTTAAAGCAACTTATTTTTCCCCCCCACAGATTTTGGTTACAAATGCCAAAATAAGTGCTTGAACTGATAAAACTCATCTAATTTCATGTTAACTGAGATAGGTTAGAAGGTCACTTGGTTTCAGTTTAAAACTAGCAAAACTGAGATCCACCCCCTTAAAAAAAACATATTGTAGAGCAAGTATGAATATTTTTGTATGCTATGAAACAGTTTTGAAATTAAATCAGCATCTGTTGAAAGATAAGGGCAAATTAATTATAAAAGCACAAGTAACTTCAAAATAAGCTTTATTTTTATTGCAAAACTGTGTGAAAATATCAGAAAAAATTATGTCTTGATTAAAGATCACATCTAATTATCTAGGTTGCTTATGTAAGTTCCAGAGAAATTTTATAAAACAGATGCTAGGGTAACATGATATAATTTTATTATTTTGATCAGGATTAACATGACATATGGGAAATATCATGGAGGGGAACTAATAAAATGGGGAATGTTGCCAGAGGTTTGAGTATATTTTTGGCTCACCAATTAATCAACATAATTGTACTAATATCTCACCTGATTGAAGGTATGGGAGAAATGTGTTGGCTTTTAATTTAAAAAGAATGACAGATTTATAAGGAATGTGAAAATTGGGGAAAAGAAAATAATTATGTTCAATAATACTTATTTAGAGTAAAAGGAAATTATGATAACAAGTGTGTTTTTCTATGAGAAATAAATATAAACAAAAATCTTTAGCATTCAGTTATGGGATATCATTTTCAGAGTATTTTAGAAAATAACTTTAGAAAGTATTGATTGCATTGTGCTGTTTTCTACATATATCCAATATAGTATTTCAGTACACGTGACACTGTGAGAATCTTAGGACAAGATTCTAGAAAGAAGAAATATATAGAAACAGACATTCTCATTGTTTTATTTCTCAGGTCAGCAATCTCAGTCAATAAGGTCAACATAACACATAAGCTAGCAGTCAGACATGAGAGAATGTTCCAGAACTACAAAGCCAAACATAAATAAAACAATGCCCCTAAACAATAGCAGCAATAATGAAAAAAAATACCACCTTAATCTTTTATAGGATATAGTTTATTAACAAGGTATACACATTCCTGGTTGTTACATCCCTACTAAGAAGACGGGACATTTTGAAAAGATCACTGAATGTGCAAAAGGTGACTACTGTATGAAGAAAAATGATTCCATCCTGTAAATAAAGACTAAAAAGGTTTCAAGTGTCCAGAGAAGCACATGTCATGCTCTGCCAATGCATTTGTCACTTGGTATTCACAAAGTTAGCTGTGTTGGTGCCTTTCTTCCCCTGTCTGGCCTGAGAGACAAAATCCCAGTGGATAGAATAGAGTGGATGCTGGCTTTACCCAGTGGCTTGCTGCTCTGAGGTGCTTCAGAACCACCTTCTGAGAAACTGTTCAAGAAAACCCGACACCCAATTTTACTTACTGAGCGAGCTCATTGCAGGGGTTGTAGTTTCTTAGTGATTTGTATCTGAGCGAGGAGCTTAGGGGGGACCCAAACCTTGCTGGAGGCTTAGCCACGTAATTTCCTTTTAGGCCAACAGTACTTAGGTCTTCTGTATCCCAAGACCTTGACTCTGCCCTTGGAACATTGAGGGGAAAGAGTGATTCTTACCCAAAAGTCTTGGGTCTCAATCCACTGAGAAAAAAAAGTAAAATCATCCGGAATCCCATCACCCGGGGATAATCACATGCAAGGTACAGGATCAGTGTGTTTGCCTGTAGTATTTTCCTGTGCATGTTGAAATAGTTTCTGTGTTGTTTTCATTATCTCACAAGAAATGTCTGTTGCCTGTAAACGGCTGCATAATATTTTACCTGTTTAGGTTCCATCACGTGCTTAAGCATTGCCTTTTCCATGGGTATTTAGGCTCTTTTTATTTTAAAAAAGCATACACAATGCTGTGATGGATATCTATCTTTACAAAATGTATTTATTTGAATGATTTATTAGGATCATTATCCATAGAAGTAGAATTATGGAACCAAATTATATAAACAATATTTTAATATCTTGTTGTTTAAAAATGAAATTCCCAATCTTAATGATTTGGTAATGCACTTGCAGGTTTTTCTGGTGACTTACAAACACACATATGTAATTAAAAACAGGATCACACAAACTTGTGCTTTTAATTTAAACTTCATCATGGAAAATTATTTTCATATCTGTCTTAAGGTACGACTCATTTCTACAACTACATAAGTATTCAGTAGGTATGCTCAATAATGTATTTTACTCAGATGTGTACTCATAGATGGTGCAGTAATTCCAAATGTTTATGTTGACAATGTTGTCATAAATTTACTAGTACTCATACATTTTCAATTTTACATTCTTTCCTGAATTCCTATAAAATAAGTTCAAAGAGGAGAATTGTGTCAAAAGATTGAACATTTTAATCTGTGTGGATGCCCTAAGTTATTCTCTAATGAGCTTTTCCCAATAAAATATTTCCCTAAAAAAAAAGACTAAAAAGGTTTTGGTTTATCCAAAGGAGAAATATTTAAATTCTAAAAAGATAGGAGTTGATGACTCCTGATGGCTGATGTTGAGTTTTGAGATGGGCTTAAAAAAAATGTCTACAAGGAAATTTTATGGTTCACAGTAGTAAACTTGAGTGAGGTTTAGAAGGCATTTTCTGAAAACATAGTTTAAGGTTTAATGAAACTATATTAATTTCATTAAATGTAACATAAGGATTTTAAAACTCATCCCTAACTTTCTGAGGTTGGCTTCCCAAATTTCTGCTACAACTCTGCTGTGAGTTAGAGAATTTGCTAGAATAGGTCATGATTTTGTGTCAGTGTTCCATTTTGGAGAGAAGTGGATATTTATTAAAACACTGAAAGAACAGTTACAGAAATAAAATCCTTCATTTATTCAAGAAATATTTATTGCATACCTACCATGTCCCAGGTACTTTTCAAAGTAAGGGGTTATAGCACGAACAGCGACAAAAATGAAACAAATATCCAAACTCCTAAGACTTACATTCTGGAGGGAAGGGTTAATCAATTAAAAACATTAAATATAAATTATGATGTAAAACAAAGCATGGGAGAGTGGTCCTATATGGTATGTGGTAATTTATAATAGGGTGATCAGGTTATACCTAACTGAGGAGATATTCGTAAAGAGCATCAAGGTGGTAAAAACTGAACCATGAAGATATTTGAGGGGTTACATTCCAGCAGAAGAAACAATCATTAAAGTTCTGAGGCAGGAATGTTCTGGAAAATGTGAGGGATAGAATTGTAGCTAAAGTGGAGAGAATTTTAGAGGCAAGAGCCAGGGAGTTATATTGATGTCATCGAAGTAATAGGAGACTAAATAATCAGCTACATTCTCAGGCATTTTAAAGGTTTTGGTTTATCCAAGTGAGATGAGGAGCCATTGGAGCACTTAGATCAGAAAAGTAACTTGATGTGGTTACAAGGCTCACTCACATTTGCTTCTGTGTTGAGAATAGAGTAGGCACAAGAAAGGAGTAATGTGAGGGATGAAGCAGAGGGATGAGTTAGAAGAGTTAATAATAATATAGGCAAACAATGATGGCTTGGGCCAGTGTATTAGCAATGGTGGTGATGGGAGGCTGATAAATTCAAAATATACTTTGACGGTAGAGTGAAAAGGGATTTTTAAAAAAAAGATATATTTTATTGATTTTATACAGAGAGGAAGGGAGAGGAATAGATAGCTAGAAACATTGATGAGAGAGAAACATTGACCAGCTGCCTCCTGCACACTCCGCACTGGGGATGTGCCCACAACCAATGTACATGCCCTTGACCTGAATGGAACCTGGGATCTTTCAGTCCACAGGCCGACGCTCTATCCACTGAGCCAAACCAGTTTTGGGAAAAAGGGATCTTTAATAGAATAAATATGAGATGTAAGAGAAATAAAGAATCAAGGATGATGTTAAAGCTCTTAATCTGAGAAACTAGAGTTAAGGACATGACATTTAATGGAGTGGAAAATTGTGAAAGATGCAGTCTTAGCAGGGAGATGTCCATTGTGTATGTAAGTGAAGATGTCCAATTGTAGTAGTTGTTCCTATCTGACGTTCAGGAAAGAGGTCTAGGCTATAGTTATAAATTAGATTCTTTAGCAGCAATTGTTACACAAAGGCTGTATGAATGCGATTATCAAGGAAGTGATGATAGGTAGAGATGAGATCCATAAACTAGATTCATGCTTGGAGTGTGGGAAGATAGGTATGGCAGGTCAAATAAAACAAAAAGAGTAATATGGAGCAATAGGGAATAAAGCAAACAAAAGAGTGTGCTGCCTTGAAAGACATGTTAGGGAAACCTTTTAAGAAGGCATAAGTAATTAGCTTACTTATGCTACTGATAGAACAATTAAAATTAAGGCACAGAAACTGACCATTGTGTCCAAAACCATGACCTTGATAAGAACAGTTTGAGTTAAGTAATTGAAGTTAAAACTTGATTGGAATAATTTGAAGAGCATGGGAGGGGGAGAGATTGAATGCAGGAGGTTTAGGTGCTTACCAAAAGGCCAGCAGAGAAATGTGGCAACAGTCGAAAGACTGTGAGATCTAAAAGATTGTCAAGTTAGGAGAAATACAGTTGTAATGATACATACAGGAAAGAGGAAAAAATTATGATGCCTAAGAGAGATGTAGAACTTGTGAGGCCATGTCTTTCACTAGGTCAGATGAAATGCTTACTAGTTCATAGTGAATGGATGGCCTTAGGTAGAAACACAGACAATTCGTCCATAATAATAGGATGGAGCATAAAAGCATGCAGCTGAATAGGTGTGATGAATCTCACTCGTGAGAAACATATATGAAAAAATACATGTTTTTTGACCACTAGCAATAAATGAGAGCCACTGTAAAACTCCATTAAAATATGACAGCTTGAATTTGGAACACTGTAATCCAAATATATGTCCATTTTTTTATTTTTTATTCTGGAGTATTTCCATACTGACAATGAACATATGCATATTTTGCAGAATCCATCTACAATAAGCATTTGTGTTTGGAAGGGAAGCAACTGAATCTAGAAATATATGACCCGTGTTCTCAAGTAAGTAAACAACATACTCTTTTATTTTTTTTTTCAATCATTATTTGAAGAGGATTAGATAAGGGTCAGTGTAAAATTCCAATCTTAAAACTTAATTTTATTTTCTTATTTTAATTATTGAAAATTGAAGAGATTCTTTTTATTGTTATAGATTTCATTATCTAACTCCTCTGTAAAATATGACTAAACTGTCATATTATAAATATCTTTAAAATAAAAAATATTAGGTTGGATTTATAATATATTAGAGGCCTGGTGCACAAATTCGTGCACCAGTGGGGTCCCTTCGCCTGGCCTGTGGGATCAGGCTGAAACAGGCTCTCCAACATCCCCTGATTGTGAGAGGTCCTGGACTGTGAGAGGGTACAGGCCTGGGAGAGGGACTCTATTGGTGCATGATCAGGGCCAGGGAGGGACTAGGAAGGTCGGGCAACCAGGGAGGAACCAAGGAAGGCCTCAAGGGCATGTCTGGCCCATCTTGTTCAGTCCTGGTTGGCTGGACCCCAGCAGCAAGCTAACCAACTGTCTGCCCCCTGGTGGTCAGAGCGGCCTTCGTATACATTACCATATTATACTTTGGTTGATTGAATGGATGACCAGACACTTAGCATATTAGGCTTTTATTATATAGGATTTCTATCAGGTCACAAGTACCTGTTAGAAGTTAATAATGGCCTATCATTCAAGTTTATATGTTCACTGTTTCTTTTATGTCTAACCACTGTTGATCAAGCATGAAACAGATTTTGAATATAAACTTTTTTGTTTAATCAAATACCAAAAAAAGTGAAAACAGTATTATATAAATAACAACTGTTCAAGATTTCAAAACAACTCCATGGGATAGATTCTTTTATTTGATGAAAATCTACCTTAAATCATTTGAGCTAAACCTTATCTTTTTTTTAATGATTTAAATATAGTACCAAAATCAATAGATACTCTATTAATATAGATAGAAAATATTATACCTTTTCAAAAATATATGTGGATATTAATTCAAAAAACAACTATAGTTTATCACTTTTCAAAGAAAGTTGAGATATTTTCTTAGAGAAAAGTTGTAAAATGAGATAGAAATGATTTTATGATAATTTATGTTTTAAGCACTTTTAACCAAAGAGAATGATGAGGAAATAAGCTACATTTAGAAAATATCAGTGTTTGGCTTATTGAATTCTCTTCTAAATGAAATGTGTCTTCATTAATTAATTCTAACGTGTAAATACAGGTGTAAGATTCCACCACTTTCAATGTGTCTGGTTTGTTTGCAGCCACAGAAAGCAAAATTTTCCCTCACAAGTGAGCTGCATTGGGCAGATGGATTTGTTATTGTGTATGACATCAGTGATAGGTCTTCATTTTCTTTTGCAAAAGCACTGATTTACAGAATTCGGGAGCCACAAACTAGTCATTGTAAAAGGTAAGATATTTCTCATTTCTCTCTCCTTTCTTTTTAGTAAATCATCACAGAGCTGTAAGCATCATTAGAAAGAGTTTGATACAGCCTTCCAATTACGAAATTTAACAGCCCTGAACAATTCACCTTCCATTCCACAGGAGTTATACATGTAGTAAAAGGACTAAGATGAGAATACTTCATATCCTGGCTGACATAAACAGTTACTTGCCCTGAGTAAATGGCTATTTTACAAGACAGCTTCTATTGTTAACATGACACTCACTTGCTAAATAATGGTCCTTTGTACACAAGATAGTTCGTTTTCCAACCTTTTCTTTCATTCCCACAAAAATGTTAAGGATACTAAATAAATCCAGATTTATTACATTTGTCATCCAATTTCTAGTCATTTGGTTGTTCAATGTATCAAAGCAAAATAGACAGCATAATGAAACCTATACAAATTCTAAGTATGAGAATACAATTTTCTTCATTTCACCTCCAAAAATAAATAGCTAACCAACAATTGCCAATTAATTGTCTTGACAAAATGAAGAAAGACATAACTGTGCCTTCTTGCATTAGTAGATATAAGTTTAAACTTATAAATTACCTAATTTAATTTTTGTTTTTTGTTTAATAGCCTTTCCCATTTAAAATGTTTCTTTTTATTGAAAATGCTGATGTAAGGGTTTCTGTGTGTTCTTAAACCAAATTTGCCCTTTGACTAAAATAACATTCAAAACTGAGAAGCAAAAAAGCACAATATTAGTGATTTTTATAACTATTTTAAATGCCCACTATCAAGAAACCATCAGATAATAATTAATAAAAGATATTTCCCTGGAGTCAGTTGACTATATCTGATTGACCTTAAGTAAATCCTTTAATCTCTAAGACCTAATTTTTCTTATTATAAAACTGCTAGGAGCATGTTAGGAGAGAAGTATGTGATGTTACAAGGGTATCCCACAGCTCTGACTTCCAATAATATTACTGTGTGGTTTCTTTAAACATCATTGTTTCAAGCATTAAATGTTTTATAAGGGACAGAGATAACAATCCTTTGGTATTCCTCCAAATAAAAGTAAGAACTCAAGAATACAAAATAAAAACACAAACAACTGTCTTTAACATTTCCAGACTATCTTCTTAATGTCCAGACTAAATAATTTGTATTTTCAATCTGTATAGACTAGAAAAGCAACATAACATTGTTTTATTAAAATAACTTCTCATATTTGTGACCTACCTTCAAAATATTTTACAATTTCCCATTAATTCTTTACAATAGTTTTCTGAACTATGTAGAAAAAGTTATTATTGATATCTTCAAAAAATCCAACACATACAGTGCTTTTTTTCCTCATGGTTCACACTGTCATATGAATGAAAACAACTCTTAGTGGATTATGAGGACAATATATTTTCAGAAAGAGTTGATTGCTGCATTTACTCAATTATTTCCTGTGGTAGATATCTTGGCAGAGTTTCTCACCATTTATGAACTAGTAATCTCACCATGTTCTTTAAACAAAACTCTGTTTTAATAATGTTTTGTTGTAACAAATGAGGATACACTGATATTTGCCAAAGACATTACCTTAACAAGGAAACATATTTCTTAAATAAACAGAAAAATTGTACAAGGTCATGAGATCGTGAAATTTTTTCTTTATTATGTGATAAAGGATATTAACAAAGAATAAACAGCAATGAGTATGGAGTAATATTATATCTTATTATATATCTAAATTGTCCAATTGCAGTTACTATTTAATAAAAAGTTAATTTTCTGCCCAAACCGGTTTGGCTCAGTGGATAGAGCATCGGCCTGCGGACTGAAAGGTCCCGGGTTCTGGTCAAGGGCACGTACCTTGGTTGCGGGCACATCCCCAGTGGGGGTGTGCAAAAGGCAGCTGTTTGATGATTCTGTCTCATCGACGTTTCTCACTCTCTATCCCTCTCAATTCCTCTCTGTGTAAAATTAATAAAATATATTTTAAATAAATAAATAAATAAATAAATAAATAAATAAATAAATAAAAAGTTAATCTTCTTTCAATTGATAAGAAAAAGAAAGACAATATTTATTAAGCATATTTTATTGCTTGGCACTGTGCTAGGTATTTTTATATGCATAATTTCAATGAGAATTCTGTATGACCATGACTATTTTACCATTTTTCACATACAAGGAAAATGAAAATTGGAAAAATAGCAATTATACCTCATTAGTAAACAGAACCATAATTCAAGAATAAGTTTGTGTCACTTCAAATCATGTTTTAAGAGCCTTGCTTGCTTCTGTGCCACTTACTACATTTTACCTGAAATAATTGTAGTGTATACATGGAGACATGACCATTAATAACACATACTATTTTTTTTTCTGTTTTGGTTCTTAATTCTTTTACATAAACTGACTCAGTTAAAAATAGTTTTTATAAACAATCTTGCCAAATAATTGTGTATCTGTATTTCAGAGTTGTGGAATCAGCAGTGCTTTTGGTTGGTAACAAGCAAGATCTCTGTCATGTGCGAGAGGTTGGCTGGAAAGAAGGGCAAAAACTGGCACTGGATAACCGGTGCCAGTTCTGTGAACTGTCGGCAGCAGAGCAGTCTCTGGAGGTAGAAATGATGTTTATCAGAATCATCAAGGACGTCCTGACAAACTTCAAACTCAAAGAAAAGAGAAGATCCAGTGGATCTAGATCAATGGCCAAACTGATCAATAATGTATTTGGAAAGAGAAGGAAATCTGTTTAGTAGACATATGATTTCAAGGGTTTCTTATATCAGAAGTTCGGTTCATGTGCTAATTGAATTTAACCTTTGTTTGCAATTAGAACAGTATTTATATGTCTAAATATATGTCTAAAGTATTTATATATCTAAATACTTTAGACATATAAAGTGATTGAATATGAACCACAGTGTGTGTTTCAATATATAGCGTGCCTTTTGGGGTGTTTGTGTTTTGTACACTCTGCTTCACACTTAAACTTCCCTTTATTTCACAGAATCTCCCTCAATATAAATTATTGGTTGATTACTATACAGTTTGATTTGCAAATGAACATTGATTCTGTAATTTTATTAAACTACCATTCTACAGGCCTTTTTACCTTTATTTTATGTATTTCTTTAGGATAAACATATGGTTATATTCATGTATTTCATATTTTGTAGGGCTTAATTTATATACATATGAAACTTCATGATCTATTTAATAGAAATACATTAATTTAATTTTTAAAATGTCTTCATTTTAATAATCTATTGAGTGACTTGATAATACACACATATTACTTATAACTTGGGCTTTAAGAAATTAAATGTTTTGCCCATAAGTACATAGTTTGTAGTTGGTCTGATGTTAAAAAAATCCTCTGCTTGCTTTGTATGCTAAGCTAACAATGGGGGATTATGACAGAGAAATTAGTTTATACAGCTAAGATCCTTCTGGGACCAAAAAATTAGTCTTTTATAGTTCATTTAGGACTTATACATCATAAGAAAAGAAAAAAAGTAAGAGCTAATTGGTAAATATATAACCTTTAAGGACTTATTTCCCTGAAAGAAATATTGCATTTGATACAAACATTTTAGGCCTTTTCAGATTACTTTGGATTTCCTTCAGAAGTCAACCATTTACCTCATGGACTTTATCACCGTTGCTGCTGCCTTTGCTAAGCTTGCCACCTTCTACAATTGTAAGACAAATTGTTGAAAATGAAGGTTAAGTATTAGAGAAGTTAAACTAGGAGTACAAACAATCTACTACATACTTGGTTACCGTGCAGCATCAGTAACCTAGGGGAAAGGGTGGAACATCTTGAGTAGAGAGTGATAGGAGTGGGGGTAGGGTGGCTCATAATATTAGGCTGGGTAGGAAGGAATTCACTGACTTGGTGTTACTCACTATGAGTCACGATTCAACCCTTTAGGAGCAACACCTAGGGCTCATTTCTATAGCTTTGCTGTTCATTAGAAATCTAACCCTGATGATATGCTGGAGTAAAAGTGGTACAGACAAAAGAACTTTGTGTGGTGATATACAAAACCATTCATAATGCTCATGAAGTTGGAGGAGTTAGAATTGATATGGTAAGTTGGACCTAAGCACCTACCACCTGATGGGTTCTCAGGTTGAGTTGATAATAGGGCGGCTGCCATTGAACTGCAGTCCTCAGTGTCAATGCTGATGATAGAATCCTGGAACAGCAGAGTTTGATGACAACATTGAACCCTTGCCAATTATGCATTTGCTGTTATATTCAGGGTTGAGGCTCCATTTCTGATACTACTGACTGGTTGGACACTTAGGAGTGGCATTCTCAATGAGCTGTATTGAGGTAAAGTCCATATTGCGGACTCATGCATTGCTTCCATCCCGACCACCAAGGCTGCTGTTATCCTGGGTCCATTACATAAGCACAACAGTGGTGAGGAAAAGAGACAGGTTATTTGCAGGGTCATCCTGTCCATCTGGTGGTAATGTGACTTCTCATTGGTGGATGTTGTCTGGTGGGCATTAAGATGATACACAAAGATCTGTATATTTTATTCCATCTCTGATATATTCATCTACATGCTTTTTCTCCAGTTATTCTTGTAGCTATTTTTCAGTCTTTCCTCTTCATTGTACAAAGTAGCACTCAGATAACTCTCACCAAATGGCAAAACAATGATCCCTACCTAGAAATCTGGTCCACATGACACCTTTCCCAGTATACAAGGTAGACAACAAAGTGTGCTCCTTGAAACTCTGACAAATGGGATTATTTGCTTTCACTGATGAACTTCATGGTTACCTTCATGTGGGATGCATTTGGCACTAATACATCAAGCTGAAGTGAGAAAAGTTTCTTATGAACTAATGATGTTCAGATTAGATTGCTATGTAAATGAGAAATAAAGAATTATTCTGGTGAATTCAGTGATATACTTTTTCTGGGGTCAACTATAAGAATTTTATTAACATTGTATAATCTTTGTATGGACTACATATGTATTTGCATATATACATGTATCCCAATTTAAGCACTTACACTTTAAATTTTTGTTTTGTTTTATTTTATTCTTATTTTCTCCTGGATACTCTTAATTTTAGAGACTTGGCCTTCATTCTTTAAAATTATTTTCCCATTTAAAGAATGGGGGATAGTGCTGCATTAATAACAAAACATTTACCCATACTATATGTAAGGACTCTATTGTCAATATGATATGGAAATTCTTTCAAAGCTTAACTGTGTATACGTATCTGTGATGTGTCATAGTGCAAAATTTCTCTGTTAAAGTTATTATAAAACTTTATTATACCTTGATTTTTTAGCAATACCACTTGCTTATATTATTATAAGTATTTTGTAAAACATACCAATAATAAGTGCTCTCACCAGAGCGAGAGAGATGTGTTAATTAACTTGATTGTGGTAATCATTTCACAATGTATTCATATATCAAAACATTCTGTTGTACACTTTAAATGTATTACAATTTTGCTTGTCAATTGTACCTCATTATAGCTGGAAAATCACCATTGTTTTACAGTAAAAACAGAATTTACATTCTAAGATGTAGTTTCGTTGAGGCAACTTAGGAATGAACTGGTGATTTTTCTGGGTGAAATTTAAAAGTAGTTGGGTAATTTCTACTTTGGGACAGTTTCAAAACACATTCAGACTTTATTTTTTTGACATTTTTCCCTTTAAAGATTGAGTCCAGTTCTCCTCCCTTGCTAATGGATTATCCTTATTGAGTCTATTTTAACCAATTGAATGAGGTAGAAATAACAGGTAGGATTTATGAGACCTAGTTGGTAAAGGAGCTAATCCATTCCTCCATCAACCTTTGGTTTGGGTTCCATGAGTCAACATATATGAATCTTGCTTCCCTGAAGACACCAGGCTGGAGCTACAGTAAGGGGTTAGCGATCACACAACCACCTAACATATCAGCAAATATTCAGGTAACTCCAGTCTCATACCTTGCACTATCACAGCAGATGCCAGATGGAATAGAAGTGAGTTATCCCCACCCACTTTTACCTCATGTGAGTGTTAAGTATGGTGTTGTTATGGGGTTGTTAAACCATCATGGTTTGGTGTTGTTACATGGCAACTTAGAATAGATAATTCATTAAAATGTTCAGTAACTCAACCGATATGAAATGCTTGGCTTTCTTACTGGTGAAAAAAAAAAAAGAGTGAAAAAAAAATTCTCTGAACAGATTCAAAATAATCTACAACATGAAGTTGTCCCAATACCAGTTTTCTGGTAAATATAATTCGCATGTAAAGCAACTTGCAAACCTAAAAATAATAAAGTGCAGTTTTCCAAAAACTCTAGTAAGCACATCTACTCACTGAGAAACAAATACATCAATATTAGGCCACAGAAAGTTGCAGATTGAGGATCGCCAAGTGTCTCTATAAATCTCCGAGATAGTTAAGCTGTATCACTAGGCTGGGAATTGCCTATAATGCTTCTAGTAAAAAAGGTGCTGTCATTCATTTTGGATGAGCTTCAATGAGATAACACATAATGAGAGGCAACAGCTGAGGAAGGGAATGCCAAAGAGGAGGGGGCTTCTGAAACGGTTTTGATTTAATACAAGGCATGCACTATTAATAAAGAGGTTGAATGATACCTGTATGTTTTATAGGTTTATAAATTGGCTGTAGTAAAACATTTTACATCTTAGATCACTAGGTATTGTTTCAGCTTATTATGGGAGATATCTATCTAGAGTTGACTGAATTGTATTAATCTGAACCTAGTTTAATGATGCCTTAACGTTTTTATGGGGGAATTTAATGTTTGCAATATCCATGTTCCTTATTTGAAAGCGTGACTTATAGGTTTCTCATCTTCCTTAAATTATGAAATCCTTCGGCTAATAAAGGAAAATGATTATAGTTTGCAAAAAAGGCAAAGTCATTTAACAATCCATATAACTGTCTATTGTAGGACTTTGCATAATAATTGTAATTTAGCTATTAGGGATTCTAAAGGCAGTTATCAGTCATATTCTACAATTCTGGGGGAATCAGGCAAAGCCAAAATTATTTAATGTATTTTAAATTCTCAAAGAAAAAAAACAGAAATACTGTAAATTGAAAATATTCAGTGACAACATATTATCTTCCAAGCAAAGAAGCTCATAAATTCCAAATGTATAAATCACCAAACAGGTTATTTTTCTTTTTTTGTATAGAGATATAATTCAAGTTTATTTCTAATAATGGAAATATAAGTTCTTCTAAGGAGGGAATTAGCAGACTATGAAGTATCAGTTGCAATGTGGTATCTGCAGATTTTAGTAATCTTGGAACAACTAAGGCATAAGGAGTTAAGGAAAGAAAAAAAGAGGAAAATGAAGATTAAGACATGAAATTGGGATTTGCCATAATATGAAAGTATGACCATGTTATCTCTATTTTGGGGTCATTTTAAAGGACTAAAGAGAGATATTTAACAGCTAGACACAGGAAAACATTTCAAAACACACATTAAATTAGATTAATATTGTTACCAGATGTAAAGTTACTTTCCTGGTAATAAATTATTTTGGTTTTCAAAAATTGGTAGTATTTCTACATACAAACACATCTGGGGTTAAAATTCTGGGATTGGGCTGGAGGTAAAATGTTTAATTTATTCAAACAACAATTATAAAAAATAACCTATTGACTTTTATCAGATTTTCATCCTATAACAAAAGAACTCTCTATATTACTCAATTTGTTATTCTCCACAAC